CCAGCATCTGCAGTTCCTACTATCTCTAAAAGCAGCAGAGGTCTGTTTACCATTGAAATACTTGGCTAGGAACAGACTGAAGCTGAGAAACCAGTAGAACCAGTGGCCAGACACAGACAAGATCAGCAGGAAACTGAACTTTCTTACCAAAACTGCATTGGGCAAAGGGCACTAAGCTGATCTGATATTCTTTAAACATCATAATATTTTGATTCTAATGAGGTTGCAACAGGCAGCTGATTATAATTGCTGAAGGAGGTTCGCTGGACCTGAAACGTTAACTCTGCTTTCTTTCCACAGATGCTGCCAGACCTGCTGAGTTTTTCCAGCAATTTCTGTTTTGTTTCTGATTTCCAGCATCCAGCAGTTATAGAGTCGTAAAGCATGGAAACAGACCCTTCGTTCCAACCAGTCCATGCTGATCATAATCCCAAACTAAACTAGTCCCATCCGCCTGCTTCTGGCCTATACCCCTCCAAACTTTTCCTATTCCTGTACTTATCTAAGTGTCTTTTAAACATCATAACTGTGCCCGCATCCACTACTTCCTCAGGAAGTTCATGCCAAATGCAAATCGCTTCTGTGTAAAACCATTCTCATGTCTTTTTTAAATCTCTCTCCTTTCACCTTAAAAATATGACCCCAAGTCTTGAAATCCCCTATCTTAGGGAAAAGACACCCACCATTAACCCCATCTTTACCCCTCATGATTTTATAAACCTCTATAAGGCCACCTCTGAACCTCCTATGCTCCAGTGAAAAAAGTCCCAGCCTTTGGTTATAACTTCCATACCTGGGAAATTCCTGGTAAATCTCTTCTGAACCTTCTCTAGCTTAATAATGTCCTGTTCTTTTGGATTTTTTACAATTACCAAAGTGAGTTTGAGGGAAAGTGGTGTACAATCGTCCTGATTTTTACAGGATTATCGTGACTGGGGGGAGGCAATGATATTATTGCCAGACTATTAATCCAGAGACTCTAGTATGTTCTAGGGATCTGGGTACAAATCCTGCCCTGGCAGATGGTGGAACTTGAATTCAAGAATAAAAAAATCTGGAATTAACGGTATAATTGTTGATTGTCAGGAAAATCCCATATTGTTCACTAATGTCCTTTAGGGAATGAAACTGCCATCCTCATATAGTCCGGAGTCACATGTAGGCCAGCAATGTGGTTGGTTCTTAACAGTCCTCTGGGCAATTAGGGATGGGCAAGAAATGGTCATGACTCCACATCCCATACATAAGATTATCTGACGTCCCATATTATCCTTCTCTTTCTGGGACAGCACTTGTCCCACTTTTGTATAGCTTTCACTGACCAGCAATCTGGGAGACTGTCTGGAGTCTCCTCTCACAGCTCCAGGGGTAAAGCCCTTGAACAACAGCCAAACTAGCAGGTGTCGTGTAAGGAATTCATTTCAAAAACTATAACTGAGATAAGTTCAACTGAAAACAACAAATGCTGGAGATCACAGCAGGTCAGACTGCATCCACGGAGAAAGAGCAAGCTAACGTCTTGAGCCTAGATGACTCTTCATTAGAACTGGGTGAGAACCACTGAGCGTGGCATTTTACCCACCCAACCATCACTCCACATTCACTCTGTAGCCATTGTGGCTCCATTCCCACATTACACCTTGAATTTCAATTTGAATTTGATTAGCTTTATTGTCACATGTATTCAAATGAGTACAGTGAAAAGTTTACAAGTTGCCTCTTACGGCACCAACTTAGGTACAAGGTACTTAGATACAGATTCTTCAGTACAAGTTCTTAGGAAAAAGAATCAGAAAAGTAAAGAATAAAATGTCCAGCATTACAGATCGTAGGAATAAATTAGAAAATAGAGAAATAAAAAATTCAGAATAACAGTCCTTCCAATCCAGTCCACTTTGGCACCTAGCCTCCAGCCAATGCCAGGCCTTGACTCCAGACTGCACCAGGCTTCACCTCGAGACTCTCGAGGCCTGGAGACCACTCTGGAATCACCTTCAGGCTGTACCTCCATGCCGGGCAAAGAGACCGCTGCAGGACGCCATAAGACCACCATGCCAGACTGAAAGACCGCCATATGCCAAGAGACCACCATGCAAGGCCAGGGGACCACCACACCGGGCCGAGAGGACGCCTCACCCGGTCAACACTGAGGGCAGCAGTTCAGGGCATCGCTGAGAGGAAAAAACAGAGGAAAAAAAAGAGAAAAAGAGAAAAAAAAAGAAAAAGAAATGGACAGAGCAGCAAGCTCTGGCTGAAGCATCCGACTCTGCCACCATCTTGGAACAGACATAGGGAAACTTGAAACAAAGGCAGAGAGGCAAAATGTGAGTTAAAGGGAAAATAGCAGAAAAAAGAGAAAAATAAGCAACACAAAGACAACGAGCATTGCAACAGTTGCTACAAATGCTGAGCCTCTCCAGTTGCATTTCCAAGAGGAAGGTGAATACAGAAAGTAGTAAGAGAATTTGTAATAACAGTGATAATGAGGATACTTGTACAGCCTCTAGAACAGTCCTGTTTCAGACGAGCTAACTTAAATCAGTTGAGTCCAGTGTGTGATTTTTGTGGCAATATGGTTCAGTATTGCACGACATGGTACATTTATCCTACAAGTTATCAGGACAGCCTTTAAAAAGATTCAATGCCATTTTAATTCTAGGCTTTCTGCAAAGCAATTTTAAAATAAGCACTAACAGCTACATTCACAAATCAGCAAACAACCTCTCATACTCGCCTGAAATAAAATGTTTATTTGGGTCTTCATTTTGCATGAAGTATGGAGAGGTCAGTGCTTTGTAAGAATTAGCAGATTTCCAAGGAACAGGATTGGTAGCAATTGCTTTAAAAGGTGTCCTGTAATTGACTGTTAAAAGCTGAGAAGAAAGAAGAAAATATTAGTTTCAAGCACAAATGCCATTAAAAAGAAAAAAAAAAGTTATAATATTCTGAAAACAAACAAACTAGCAGTCTAGGGGTGATATAGTTGCATGGTTGTAATGCCTCAGGATAAATAATGCATAAATTCAGGTTAATGGCAACTAGTGGAATTTAAATTCAATAAATATGTATGAAATATAAAGGTAGTGTTAGTAACGGTGAAAAATATAACTCTTTATTATAACATTCTACTCATATCCATTAGGGAAAGAAATCTGCTATATGTACCTGGTCTGGTCTACACTAGATCCACTGTAAAATATCACTGTCTCTATCTGAGTGTTGAAATTTTTGATTAATTGATTGATTTTATTGTCACATGAACTGAAATACAGTGAAAAGCTTTGTTAATGAGCGGTGCAGGCAGATCCCAGCAAGCAAAGGATGTACAGATTGAAAAGACTTAGAGGCATACAGGTTACATTGTAGGTTACATTATTTGAGGCTAGAATCCATTCAACAGTCTGATAATGGCCAGAAAGAAGCTGTTCCTGAACCTGCTCGTGCATGTGTTCAGGCTTCTGTATCTTCGGCCTGACGGAAGAGGTTGTAGGAGATCATTACCAGGGTGTGATGGGTCTTTAATGATGTTGGCTGCCTTTCCCTGGCAGTGAGCCATGTAAATTGAGTTCATGGATGGAAAGTTGGCTTCTGTGATGGTCTGGGCTGTGCACACCATCTTCTGTAGTTTCTTACAGTCCTGGGCAGAGCAGTTGCCATACCAGGCCATTATGCACCAGGACAGTATGGTTTCAATGGTGCATCTGTAAAATTTGGTGAGGAACCTTATGGACATGACAAATTTCCTGAGCTGCCTGAGGAAGAAGATGCGTTGTTGTGCCTTTCTTGACTGTCACATCTAAGTGGGAAGTCCAGGACAGGTCATCGGTTATCGTCACTCCAAGGAACTTGATGCTCTTCATCCTCTCAACCTCAGTCCTGTTGATGTAGATGAGGGCGTGTTCTCCTCCTTTCTTTCTGAAGTCGATGATCAGTTCTTTAGTTTTGTTGATGTTGAGAGACAGATTGTTTTCATTGCACCACATCACCAAGCCCTCTATCTCCCTTCAGTATTTTTACTCGTTGTTAGATATCCATCCCACAACGGTGATGTCAACAGCGAACCTGCAGATGGCGTTCATTTGGAATTTGGCAACACAGTTGTAGGTGTACAGGGAGTACAGTAGGGGGCTGAGGACGCAACCTTGGTGGGGGGGAGGTGGGGGGGGGGGCTCCAGTGCTGAATGTTATTGTGTAGGAGGTGCAGTTACCTATCCTCACTGATTGCGGCCTATGGGTCAGAAAGCTGAGGATCCAGTTGCAGAGGGTGGAGCCGAGACCATAGTCATGGAGTTTTGAGATCAGTCTGGAGGGGATAATGGTGTTGAAGGCAGAGCTGTAGTCAACAAGCTGGAGTCTGACGTAGGTGTCTTTGTTGTCCAGATGCCCCAGGGACGAGTGCAGGCCTAGGGATATGGCATCTTTTGTGGACCTGTTATGTCGGTAGGCAAACTGTAGGGGATCAAGGCAGGTTGGGAGACTGGAGTTGATGTGGGCCATGACCAGCCTCTCGAAGCACTTCAGGATTACTGAAGTCAGAGCTATTGGGCGGTAGTCATTAAGGCACAAAACCTGTGTTTTCTTGGGTGATGGTGATCTTGTTGAAGCAGATGGGGACTTCAGCTTATAGGAGGGAGAGGTTGAAGATGTTGTTGAATACCTCCGCCAGTTGGTCTGCACAGGATCTAAGTGCTCGGCCAGGGACACCATCCAGACACATCGCTTTGCTTGGGTCGACTCCCAGGAAGACTGATCTGACTTCTGAAACAGTGACAGAGGGAACAGGTGTGTCTGGGGCTGTTGGGGCAGATATCGCCACGCCTGTGGTATTCTGCTCAAACCGAGTTTAGAAAGCATTGAGCGTATCAGGGAGGGATGTGTCATTGTTCGCTATCTTACACTGCTTCATTTTGTATCCCATAATGTTGTTTAGGCCTTGCCATAGATGGCAGAAGTCTATTTGGTAGGTCTGGGCCTCTAACTTGGTCCAGTACTGCCTCTTGGCCTCCCTGATGGCTTTACAGTGGTCATATCTGGATTTTCTGCATTGGTCCGGATCACCCGAGTTGATTGCTGCACATCTGGTCTTCAGTAGGGAGTGGACTTTCTGGTTCATCCAAGGTTTACGGTTGGGGAACACTCAGATTGACTTCTTTGGTACACAGTCTCCATGTATTTGCTAATGAAGTTGGTGACGGTGGTGGTGTACTCGTCTAGGTTTTCCACTGAAGACCTTAATACAGTCCAGTCCTCCGATTCCAAGCAGTCCCGGAGACAGTCTTCCACTGCCTTGGATCAGCACTGTACTTCCTTTTATGAAGGATCCTCCCATTACAGCTTCTGCATTTAGGCTAGGAGGAGGAACACAGCGCTGTGATCGGATTTTCCGAAGTGTGGGCGGGGGATGGAGCAGTAAGCATCTTTGATGTCTATGCAGCAGCAGTCAAGAGTGTTTGGTCTCCTGGTAGGGCAGGACATCTGTTGGTGGTATTTTGGTATCACCTGCTTGAGGTTGGCTTGGTTGAAGTTGCTGGCCACAATAGATAGGGACTCAGGGAATTTTGTCTCTAGAGTGTTTGTGGCAGTGTAAATCTCGTCTAGGGCATTCCTCACACCCACATGGGGTGGTATATAGACTGCCATCAGGCTGGCGGAGGTGAACTCTCATGGTAGATAGTAGGGACGGCATTTTACTGTAAGGTATTCTAGCTCCGGAGAGCAATGGCTTGCCGGGATCACTATGTCCAAGCACCAGAAAGTGTTGATCAGGAAGCATACCCCACCGCCCTTCACCTTGCCCGACGATGCCATGCAGTCCATGCAGTGTATGGAGAACCCGTCAGCTTGTAGGGCAGAGTCAGGAATGGCAGGGGTGAGCCAGGTCCCTGTGAAGCACAGCACACAACAGTCTCTCAGTTCCCTCCACTAAGTAAGTCTAGATCTGAGTTCATCCGTTTTGTTTTCGATACTTTGGACATTTGCTACAAGTATGCTGGGGAGAGGAGTCTTGAAACCATGTTGTTTCAAACTCACCTTCAGGCCAGCACATTTTCCCCATTTCCTTGTAGGTTTCTTGCCTAACAAGCCTTTCAATTCTATGGCAATTAGGGTTGAGCAACAAATGCTGGCATTGCCAGAGATGCCAACACGCCATTCTTCAAAAAAATCACTCATGGGATGTGGACATCACTGCCTAGGCCAGCATTTATTGCCCATCCCAAATTGCCCTTAAGAAGGTGATGGTGAGCTGCCTACTTGAACCACTGCAGTTCATTTTTTGTAGGTGGACCCACAATGTGGTTCCTGAAGGAATTCCAGGATTTTGACCTAACAACACTGATGGAATGACCACATGGTTCCATATCAGGATGATGAGTGACTTGGAGAGAAAACTTGCAGGTAGTGGTATTCAGGTGTATCTGCTGCCCTTGTCCGTCTAGATGGAAGGAGTTGCAGGTTTCGAAGATGCTGTCTGAGGATCTTTGGTGAATTTCTGCAGTGCATCTTATAGACGGTACACAATGAACTTGTTAGTGATAGGCAGCATGGGTTGTGCAGGGAAGGTCATGTCTCACCAACATGATTGAGTCTTCTTGAGGAGGTGAGAAGAATGATTGATGACGGAAGGGCAGTGGATGCTGTCTACATGGACTTTAGTAAGGCATTTGACAAGGCACCTCATGGCAGGCTGGTACAAAAGGCAGAGTCTCGGGCAATGGGATCGGGCTAGATGGATACAAAACTGGCTTGGCCATAGAAGATAGAGAATAGTGGTGGAAGGGTGCTTTTTGGAATGGAGATCAGTAACTAGCAGTGTTCCGCAGGAATCAGTGCTGGAACCTTTATTTCGTAATATATATAAATGATCTGAAGGAAAATGTAGGTGGTCTGATTAGTAAGTTTGTGGATGACACCAAAATTGGTGGAGTTGCAGATGATGAGGAGGATTGTCAATCAATACAGTAGGATATAGATAGGTTGCAGATTTGGGCAGAGAAATGGCAGATGGAGTTTAATCCGGACAAATGTGAGGTAATGCATTTTAGAAGATCAAATTCAGGTGCAAATTATACAATGATTGGCAGAGCCCGTAGGAGCATTGACATACAGATGGATCTGGGTGTACAGGTCCACAGATCCCTGAAAGTGGCAATATAGGCGGATAAGATGATTAAGAAGGCATACAGCACGCTTGCCTTCATTGGCTGAGATACTGTCTATGGAAGTTGGCAGGTTGTGTCACAGCTGTATAAAATGTTAGTCAGGCCACATTTGGAATATTGTGTGCAGTTCTAGTCCCCACAGTATCAGAAGGATGTGGATAGTTTGAAGAGGGCGAGGCGAAGGTTTATCAGGATGTTGCCTGGTCTGGAGGATTTTAGTTATGAGGAGAGGCTGGATAAACTCAGATTGTTTTCACTGGAAGGACAGAGGTTGATAGAGTTCTACACTACGGTACATAGTCAGAGGCTTTTTCCTCAACTACAAGGGGGCACAGGTTCAAGTTGAGAGTGGGAAAGTTTAGGAGAGAAGTGCAAGGAAAATTTTTCACACAATGGAGTGGTTGGTGCCTGGAACGCACTGCCAGTGGAAGTGGTGGAAGCAGCTGTGTTAGCAATGTTTAAGGCGTATCTTAATAGACACATTTACAGGAGGCGAACAGAGGGATAGAAACTACATATGGGCAGTAAGTAGCAGGTCTACATAAGGATTAGAAATCAGTGCAGCTTGGTGAGCTGAAAGGTCTGTTTCTGTGCTGTATTGAATTGTGGTGTTTAATGCTGCTACTGAGCATCAGTAATGCCAGAGTGAATGTTTGTGAAAAATAAAGGAATAAATGAAGGAATGAAAAGCATATACAGCAATTACTAAAAAAAATGTTATCAAACTTCTTTACATTTGGGAGCAATTTGGGAAACATAGCAAGGTAGTTCAATTAGTTCAAAAGATCCAAACACAACCTAGAATCCTATCACTTTTAACATCAGCTTTCAGGGATAATACTATTTCACAAAATGTAGCAGGGCAAGTTCTGACAAGGCAGAACTTGTTAAAGAACCAAAAATGCGTTCAAGAAGGGAAAGTCCTGATTAAGGATATGACTAGACATTTTGCTATTGCCATGGTGAACAATGGCATGCAATGTATGTAAAAACAAACAGAAAATGGAAATCTGCAAATCTACAACTAAACCAGAAAGTGCTGGAAACACAGAGCAGTTCAACCGAATCCCGTACATGCAACAACACATTAATGTTTCAAATTTCCTCTACTCAAATTCATAGCCATTTCTGAACTGGATGTTATGAATTTAGTTTTCCAAGTGCTTTAGATAGCATTCCAAATTGTGTATTAACGTCTTATAATAGAACTGGGTGGAAAGCAGAAGTAAAAATTCAAATGTGAGGGCACCGATAAATAAGAACATTTTTAGATGGAATGATTGTAGTTGCCAAGGACATCAGTTATGATATCCCTGTTGTTTATAATAGGTCATGTTGTAAACGTGGGTTATGAAATTAAGATCTTGCAAACAACAAAGCAGGAGATAGAAAGAGCAATGTGGAAAATAGCAACTAGATAGACTGAAGATTAAATAATTAGATGACAAACTAAACCTAAATGAATCCAAATGGTGGAGGCAATGAAGAAAAGAAAAAGTGGGAAGTACGAAGGGGAAGGAGAAAATACGTTTTTTTTCCTTGGTGTGAAAGTACAGTGTCTGTAGGCTAACAGGAATGTATATACTCTAACAAGCAGTTAGAGATGAACAGAGATACTATTACTTTCTTCTCTTGCTCAGTCTGCGCTCTAGTTGTCCCAGTCTGTAATGCGTTTATTAATTCCATCTCCTGTTTTTTCACAGCAATCTTAAGTTGTTCTCTCTCAAAATCTGCAACAGCATCAGCACAGGTTTCTCTGTAGGTTTTTGAAAAATAGATTTTCTTTCTGGGAACAAAGCCTGTTTTCAAATATGGGAGAAACAAAAAACACATATTAGCTAAAATTCAGTAAAAATTTCTAATGTGCATTGTGTGATTAAGCACTTAGATGAGCAAATATGAAATAAAATAAACCTCTCATGTGACTGAAGAATGGAATAAAAAAAAAGTTACTATCATTTCCATAGACTGTGATAGTCAAGATATTAACCTTGTCACATTTTAGCCATAACGTCCTCTATTATCAGTCAGTTCCAGTCCTGTGTCAGACACCTTGTTTGTAGGAGGGTGGTTTCAAATGGGTCGGAATTTCAGATTAGTGGGGCTAAGTAGGCAAGTGTTCATCTTCAGCAACAGGATCAATTGTAGGCTTGGGTCATCCTAATTCTCAGGTTGAAATGTCTGACAGCTGTCAGTGTAAATTGAAGCAGCCCAGACCATTCTCTGCACTCAGCTGTGCCGTATTGGGGGTCAGGTAGGATCTCACGGGTAGTAAGATGGAGCAGAGCTTGCAGGAGCTGGAGGAGCAATTGTTCTTCCTGACTCCACAAAGCCAGAATAAATCTCTATTTTCATGGTCTTCACCTCTTCGCTGGTAGTTTTATTGTTTGGCAACCACAATGGGTACTTAAGATGCAGTCAGAGCCCAAATGACTCATAGGGATTTGATTTATAAATATTGATGAGATTAAGTTTCAACCAAGCAGAAATCATTGCCAGAGAGCAGCATCATAGGAGCAGGAAGGCTGACGTTTTGGGCCTAGACCCTTCTTCAGAAATGGGGGAGGGGAAGGGGGATGTGAAATAAATAGGGAGAGAGGGGGAGGCAGATAGAAGATGGATAAAGGAGAAGATAGGTGGAGACGAGACAGACAGGTCAAAGAGGCGGGGATGGAGCCAGTAAAGGTGAGTGTAGGTGGGGAGGTAGGGAGGAGATAGGTCAGTCCAGGGAGGATGGACAGGTCAAGGGGGCGGGATGAGGTTAGTAGGTAGGAGATGGGAGTGGGGCTTGAGGTGGGAGGAGGGGATAGATGGGAGGAAGGACAGGTTAGGGAGGCGGGGACGAGCTGGGTTGGTTTTGGGATGCGGTCGGGGGAGGGGAGATTTTGAAGCTTGTGAAGTCCACATTGATACCATTGGGCTGCAGGGCTCCCAAGCAGAATATGAGTTGCTGTTCCTGCAACCTTCGGGTGGCATCGTTGTGGCACTGCAGGAGGCCCAGGATGGACATGTCGTCTGCGGAATGGGAGGGGGAGTTGAAATGGTTCGCGACTGGGAGGTGCAGTTGTTTATTGCGAACCGAGCATAGGTGTTCCGCAAAGCGGTCCCCAAGCCTCCGCTTGGTTTCCCCAATGTAGAGGAGGCCACAACGGGAACAGCGGATGCAGTATACCACATTAGCAGATGTGCAGGTGAACATCTGCTTGATGTGGAAAGTCTTCTTGGGGCCTGGGATGGGGGTGAGGGGGGAGGTGTAGGGGCAGGTGTAGCACTTCCTGCGGTTGCAGGGAAAAGTGCCGGGTGAGGTGGGGCTGGAGGGGAGTGTGGAGCGTACAAGGGAGTCATGGAGAGAGTGGTCCCTCCGGAAAGCAGATAAGGGTGGGGAGGGAAAAATGTCCTTGGTGGTGGGGTCGGATTGCAGATGGCGGAAGTGTTGGAGGATGATGCGTTGGATCCGGAGGTTGGTGGGGTGATACGTGAGGATGAGGGGGATTCTGTTTGGGTTGTTATTGCGGGGAGGGGGTGTGAGGGATGAGTTGCAGGAGACATGGTCGAGGGCGTTCTCGACCACTGAGGGGGGGATGTTGCAGTCCTTGAAAAATGAGGACATCTGAGATGTACGGGAGTGGAATGCCTCATCCTGGGAGCAGATGTGGCGGAGGTGAAGGAATTGGGAATAGGGGATGGCATTTTTGCAGGAAGGTGGGTGGGAGGAGGTGTATTCTAGGTAGCTGTAGGAGTCGGTGGGCTTGAAACGGATATCGGTTTCGAGGTGGTTGCCGGAGATGGAGACAGAGAGGTCCAGGAAGGAGACAGAAGTATTAGAGATGGTCCAGGTGAACTTAAGGTTGGGGTGGAAGGTGTTGGTGAATGCCATCCCCATTCCCAATTCCTTCACCTCTGCCTCATCTGCTCCCAGGATGAGGCATTCCACTCCCATACGTCTCAGATGTCCTAGTTTTTCAAGGACCGCAACTTCCCCCTCTCAGTGGTTGAGAACGCCCTCGACCATGTCCCCTGCATTTCCCGCAACTCATCCCTCACACCCCCTACCCACAATAACAACCCAAACAGAATTCCCCTCATCCTCACGTATCACCCCACCAACCTCCGGATCCAACGCATCATCCTCCAACACTTCCGCCATCTGCAATCCGACCCCACCACCACCCTCTCCACCCTTATCTGCTTTCTGGAGAAACCACTCTCTCCGTGACTCCCTCGTCCGCTCCACACTCCCCTCAGCCCCACCTCACCTGGCACTTTTCCCTGCAACCGCAGGAAGTGCTACACCTGCCCCTACACCTCCCCCCTCACCCCCATCCCAGGCCCCAAGAAGACTTTCCACATCAAGCAGATGTTCACCTGCACATCTGCTAATGTGGTATACTGCATCCGCTGTTCCCGTTGTGGCCTCCTCCACATCAGGAAAACCAAGCGGAGGCTTGGGGACCGCTCTGCAGAACACCTATGCTCGGTTCGCACTAAACAACCGCACCTCCCAGTCGCGAACCATTTCAACTCCCCCTCCCATTCCGCAGACGACATGTCCATCCTGGGCCTCCTGCAGTGCCACAACGATGCTACCCGAAGGTTGCAGGAACAGCAACTCATATTCCGCTTGGGAACCCTGCAGCCAAATGATATCAATATGGACTTCACAAGCTTCAAAATCTCCCCTCCCCCGACTGCATCCCAAAACCAACCCAGCTCGTCACCGCCTCCCCAACCTGTCCTTCCCCCCATCTATCCCCTCCTCCCACCTCAAGCCCCACTCCCATCTCCTACCTATAACCTCATCCCGCCCCCTTGACCTGTCCATCCTCCCTGGACTGACCTATCTCCTCCCTACCTCCCCACCTACACTCACCTTTACTGGCTCCATCCCCGCCTCTTTGACCTGTCTGTCTCCTCTCCACCTATCTTCTCCTCTTTCTATCTTCTATCCGCCTCCCCCTCGCTCCCTATTTATTTCACATCCCCCTTCCCCTCCCCCATTTCTGAAGAAGGTCTAGGCCCGAAACGTCAGCCTTCCTGCTCCTCTGATGCTGCCTGGCCTGCTGTGTTCATCCAGCTCTACACCTTGTTATCTCAGATTCTCCAGCATCTGCAGTTCCTACTATCTCAGAAATCATTGCCACCTTGAATAAAAGGCCCAGTTTACACAGTGGAGTGTCTGATTGGAGTGGGAACAGGGTGATGAATTCTTAAAGATGATTTTAATATCATTGCTATTAAGCAGCCCTCTCCCAATCATTTCTTGTGTGCTATTGAGTGTCATACTTTTGGTCATTCACCAGTGCTGCTAGGTAACTATTTTATTTTTTGAGGAAAACAACAGTTGCCAACTCTGATTTTTCCTTCCCTCTTTGTCAGGAGTGATGCTTAGTTAAAGTAAACCAAGCTGAATGATCCTACATGGGGAGAAAGCTTGCGAGTTGAGAGCTATGACAGGCTTGCCAGTAACTCTGGTCTTGTAAAAATGAAGATAGGCTGGAAGATTGCTAATCTTAACTTTATGTTACATTCTATCATTTAGTTAACCTCTAATTTCATAACATGAGATAGATATGAAGTACGATAGGTGACTGACCAGTGTATCCAGGAACCATTAAGTCAGTCAGTTTCTCGCCTTTCCTGATCACCTTGTGACTCTGAGGTAGACTTTGATGTTGTTCAGCACCCACGTCATTATTAGTTTCTTGATCCTGATTTGGCTGAAGGAGTAATTGTCGAGAATGTGCTATTGCAGGATCTGTGAGCAGTTTAGAGGTCAGCTTGCTGTAGCATTGTCCAACACTGTATTTATACTGAGGACAATAACCAGCATATCTACAAAGATATCACAGAGCAATTGTTACTCTTTCTGAATATGATTACAGTTCGACTTCAGAACTAACTGATCAAGTCATCAACCTGCAACATCAAGCTGAAGTTTTAATCTTAAAAAATGAGTGGGCTGGAATTATGTCAGAATTAAATTTCAGAATATCTGACGGAAGACTCCAAATGGTATAATCACACACACTTCCAGTTTTAGAAGGGGTGGCATGAGGTACATGTAGCCTATTGAGTTGTGGGATTCAGGTTTGTCATTTCAATACAATAACAGCCATGTCAACGTGTCAGCAAACATTGGTATCATAATAACTCGGCCTGCCTCAATCTTAATAATCATTCTTTTAAACTCATTAGTCAGGCTTCTCAGGCCTTGGAAACAGGTATAAGAGGGCATGAGGGATTGAATCAATGCACTAAGTGCCTTTATAACACAGGATATGGGCTAGGCAGAGCAGGAGTGTTTCCCTCTGGTTCAGCAAGCTACACAGTAGACAGTGCTCCTGCTCCCAGCCCCCTCGGAGCAGCATTCAACACTGTCAAATGTTACCTGAATACCACTGACCCTGTGACCACCATTTCCCACATCTTGTGATCAGGAATTCCCTGTGTTTGGGACACACCCTGCCCTCCCCCTGATCTCTACAATTTGAGCTCCACACCTTCAATTTGGACTCCCTTCCTAATCTATAACTTCTCTTCCTCCCTCATGGACCTGAACGATCTCCCTTGACTCAGGCCTTGTACTCTGGGCTTCCTGGGCAGCAGCCACCAATCTGTCAATCAGATGGAAAACTGACAAATAAAAATATTAAAGGAGTTCAGCAGCTCAGACCAGCAGCTTTCACCCCTCAACATGGTTCACTGGATTGATTGTTGGGCGAGAGGATTGTCCGATGAGTTTGAGCAGAGGGGGCCTGCACTCTCTCGAGTTTAGAAGAATGAAATATGATCTAATTAAAACCTACAACATTCTGGGAAAGTTTAGTAAGATTGATTCTGAGAGGCTGAATCAAGTTCTGCCTACCTCTGTGTTGTAACATATCTGAATAGATTGATTTAAAAATACCAACATCAGAATGGAGAGGTCCAAACACTATCCTAAATTTGACATTTTAACAGTGCTGAGGTAAAGGTGCCAGTCAGGCTATGGCCCTTTGTTGTTGATTTCCCCAAAACCGAACAAGAGGAAATAGTTTATCTCTATTTGGCCTATCAAATCATTGAACATCCCTCAATGTTCTATCACACCTACACTCAAGGGACTATACAACTAATGTGGGTCTTGCAGCACACTGTTGGTATCCATACCACAAGGACAGAAAGTCCAAGTTCAAGTCTTGTTTTGTGGCACAGTGATAGTGTCCCTGCTTCTGAGCCAGAAGGTCCAGGTTCAAGGCCCCCCTGCCCGTGGTCTTGACATTGTATGTACGAACAGATTGATTCAAATAACTAAATGCTTAACGTATGTGGGCAGTGTAACAAAGTGTAACTTTTAGCCTCAATATCATTCTGGTGACTATGCACTGCACTGTCTGCAAACCTAAAAGATTCTCCCTGAGGTACAGAGCACAGAACTCAGGGAAATAAAGTATACAGTCATTGCATAACTTCCAGCCTTTTTGAGAGTCAAGCAGCATTCCATTCGCTAGTGTAAATCAGCGAATGAATAATTAAAATAAAACCAAGAATTGCGGATGTTGGATGAAATTCTAATGAGGGATCATGACTCGAAACGTTAACTCTGCTTTCTTCCCACAGATGTTTCCAAACCTGCTGAGTTTCTGCAGTAATTTCTGTTTTTGAAATAGATAACTCTTCTCTTTCTCCTAAGTCGCTAAACAAAAGAAAGACTGGCTTCGCGATGATGATAAGGACAATGTCCCGGTACTGGGTTCAGAATCACCGCTACAGAGATGACATTGTTTTCATCTGAGACAACAAGGTGCAGGGCTGGATGAACACAGCAGGCCAAGCAGCATCATAGGAGCAGAGAGGCTGACGTTTCGGGCCTAGACCCTTCATCAGAAAAGGG